GACTGAGACCTGTTCAGGTGTGTTTGTGAAGGACTGAGACCTGTTCAGGTGTGTTTGTGAAGGACTGAGACCTGTCCAGGTGTGTTTGTGATGGACTGAGACCTGTCCAGGTGTGTCTGTGATGGACTAAGACTTGTCCAGGTGTGTTTGTGAAGGACTAAGACCTGTCCAGGTGTGTTTGTGAAGAACTAAGACCTGTCCAGGTGTGTTTGTGAAGGACTGAGACCTGTCCAGGTGTGTTTGTGATGGACTAAGACCCTGTCCAGGTGTGTCTGTGATGGACTGAGACCTGTCCAGGTGTGTTTGTGAAGGACTGAGACCTGTCCAGGTGTGTTTGTGAAGGAGTGAGACATGTCCAGGTGTATGACTGAGACCTGTCCAGGTGTGTTTGTGAAGGACTAAGACCTGTCCAGGTGTGTTTGTGAAGGACTGAGACATGTCCAGGTGTATGACTGAGACCTGTCCAGGTGTGTTTGTGAAGGACTAAGATCTGTCCAGGTATGTTTGTGAAGGACTAAGACCTGTCCAGGTGTGTTTGTGAAACCTGTCCAGGTGTGTTTGTGAAGGACTGAGACCTGTCCAGGTGTGTTTGTGATGGACTGAGACCTGTCCAGGTGTGTTTGTGAAGGACTAAGACCTGTCCAGGTGTGTTTGTGAAACCTGTCCAGGTGTGTTTGTGAAGGACTAAGACCTGTCCAGGTGTGTTTGTGAAGGACTGAGACATGTCCAGGTGTGTTTGTGAAGGACTGAGACATGTCCAGGTGTGTTTGTGAAGGACTGAGACATGTCCAGGTGTGTTTGTGAAGGACTAAGACCTGTCGAGACATCTTTACATCTCACAGAGGACAGTTGGACATCAGGTCTCTGTGGATCAGGACAGAATCAGGTGAATAAATGAGATGTTTTGCTTTTTAAATCAGTAAAAACCCTTTCTGTTATCTCTGAATGAAGAGTTCAAGTCTGGGTCAGGTCTGGGTTCAGGTCTGGGTTCAGAGCCACATGTGGTCCCGGGTCCACAGACCTCTGCTTTAAGAGGAACTGGTTTAAAAATAAACATTTTTTGTGCAGAGTTACAGAAACATGAACAACATAAATAAGAGAAACAAAATGATGAAAACTGAAACAACTTGACTCTGAAGGGAACTTTATTCTTTTCTACTTCAAACAAAGTACAGCTCAGGTCCAGAACCGCAGGACTCAGATCAGGTCTGATGTCCGGTGGGCTCTGTGCGGGGTCACAGTGGGTAGAAAAATATTTGCTCCTGTTTAAATAAAGAGGACAGGACGAGGACCATGTGATGAGTCATGACAATTAAAGGCACCTACTTTTTATTGGAAAACCTGCACATGAAGGGAAAATATCCAAACTTGTCTCCTGTGAGACAGAATCCTCCTGGAAGACAAAGTTCTGATGGACAACAGTCTCTGCAGGAAACATGGAGTCAACAGTTCTGTTTATGGTGACAAAACACAGAAAAGAAGAGAAGAGAAGACTTTACAAACGAGAGAGACACAGAGAGACGGGTCGTCAAGGCCTCGGGTCCCTTCAGACTGTCTCAGAACCTTCATCAAAGGTGGACCTGACTGGACCGAGACCGGCGGTCCTGGGTTCTCCTGTTCAGGACTGAAACAAATCTGTGTCTCCTGCATCATGTAAAACTGCTCTGTCTTCATTAAGGCAACAATTGATGGGGG